CCCACAGTACATAGTTGTATAGTCTAGCTGTGAGCGCCTCTGGTTGTGCTATGTGGGATGCCCTCAGCATGGCCTGATGAGTGGTGCCTTGTCCACGCCCAGGATCCGAACCTGCAAAACCCTGGGCCGCCGAAGTGGAGCGCTCAAACTTAACCACTACACCACTGGGCAGTAAGAAAAATTTTAATAAGTCCTAAATAAATGAAGGGAAATACCAGGTATATTGATAAGAAGGTGTAATATTGAGACAATATTAATTTTCCCCAAATTATTTTACAGATCCACAGAGAGCTCAGTGAAGATTCTCAGTGAAGATCCCAAAAAACCAAGGCAATCTCTTACTAAAGAATAAATGTGGAGGGTTATACTAACAGATATCAATCTCAGAGGAAGTTATATTAGTTAAAACTGTGTAGTACAACTGTAAAAAATAAATAGATCAATGAAAAAGATTAGTAATAGAGAAACTGGCTACATGTGTTGTCATCTGGTTTAGGCAGTGAAGTGGGGAAAAGGATCATCTTTTCAATTAATTCTCCTTGGTCAGGTGACTGGAAGGGGCATGGGAGAGCTTTTCATTTCTCATTTGACCCGGATCATGGCTACATGCATCTGTGTGTGTGTAAAACCTGTCCCGCTGTTCTCTTAAGATTCGTGCACTTTACCCAACAAAAGAATGAAGCTATGTTCTATGAATTACCGTAAATTGGGGTTAATATGTGCTAACAAGGCAGGGGTTCATTTCACGTGGAGTGAGGCCAGCAGCAGAAAGAGCCCCCAGGTGAGAACTCGTGCAGAGCCTCTGCAGGGGCACTAGTACTAGGGTCCGTGGGCAGAATGGAGAAGTAGTGTCCCAAAGCCATTGGATGGACATAAACCCACACCAGAAGTTGGATGTGTGTTGGAGAAAGGGTGAACATCCAGTTGGAAGGCTGAAAGAGTACCAAGGTTTTCTCTCAGCAAGAATATTCTATGAAAGTTTTGGAGACATGGTATTTGGGCCCATCCTTTGGGGAAAAGATGATGTCATGAGTAGTGATGATGAAATGATTGGAGACTTGGCACAGTGTCAGAAACAGCAACTTTGAACAGGTGGAGGTTTAGGGTGCATAGCAAATTCATATGCTATGGGCAGCAGAAGCCCAAGTGTTGATTTTGAAGTTCTGATATGATACTTGCAAAAGTTAACCTTTCTCCACACGCTGTTATTTCAGGAAAAACTGAGAAAAATCAAAATAGGCAAGGGGGATCGGTGGTTTTTCTCTCTAGTGTAGCTCTGCTTTATGGCAACTTTTCATTGTCTTTGAAGCATTTTACAAGACTGTAATTGTAGAAAATTGGTAATAATGCAAATTACTCATTTCCATAAAAATAGAATCAAACTGTGTCCTGTTAAATGCAATTGATTATTGATCTGTGGGTAGTGACCCGTTTTGCATCTATTTGAAAATTTATTTCAGCTTTCATGATGATCTATTTATGTGCATTCGTTGAATTCTCCTTTGAATCAATATTTAATGAGCTCAATAAAATATTTGATCTGTTCTCATTTCATACTTATAGGAGATTCACATCTTTTCTAAGAAAATATTCTTTGATAGGTGGAAGATAAACTCTTTATCTTATAAACTCTTTATCTTACTTATTTCTTTGTCTACGTAACTGTGAGTAGTAACTATTAAAATGGTGGTCAGACTTCTGGGGCTACAATGGCAGATTAAAGATGTGTCTGTTCCCTTGTATTTTTTACTTCACTCAACGTAAAATGGTGCAACAGCTATGGAAAACAGTATTGAGGTTGCTTAAAACCTTTACAGTAGAACTACCACGTGGTACAGCAATGCTACTTCTGGGTATGCATCCAAAGGAATTGAAATCAGGATTTTGAAAAGGTATTTTCACTCCCCTATTCATTGCAATGGTATTCACAACAGCCAAGAAATAAATCAAGCGTTCATTGATAGGTGAATAGATAAATAAAACGTGGTATATACGTACAATGGAATATTATTAATCCTTAAAAAAGAAGGAAACCTTGACATTTGTGACAATATGGATGAATCTGAAGGGCATTATGCTAAGTGAAATAATTCAGTCACAGAAGGACAAATACTGCACAATTCCACTTACATAAGGTGTTTAATATAGTCAAACTCACAGAAGCCGAGAGCACTACAGTCATTGCCAGGGGCTGGGGAAGGCGGGACGTAGAGTGGTTGTTCTAAGGGATAAAATTTTATTTGTGCTGCATGAATGAATTCCGGAGATCTGCTGTGAGACATGGTGCCTATAGTAAACCATACGGTATTGTACACTTCAAAATCTGTTGAGCAGGTAGACCTCAAGTTAAGGGTTCTAAACACACTCACACCAAGAAACAAGGAAAATATTGGATATGTCTAATACCTTGACTGTGGTGATGGTAGATGGGTGTTTGCATATGTCCAAATTCACATTGTACACATTAAGTATGTGTGGTGCTTTGCATATTAATTATGCCTCAATGAAGGTGTTAAAAGGTAACATAAAAAAATCAAATACTTAGGAATAAATCAAAGAAAGGCTGTTCAAAAACCTTATATGGAAAACAATGAAATGAACTGACAAATAAAAAGGAAGACATAAAAAGTTCTTCAGATATAGCATAATCATTGTTTGAAAGATTCCTTATTGTAAAAATGTCCATTTCCTGAAAATTTATTAATACAATTCAATTGCCAATTCCAGCATTTTTCATTTTTAGGGATTTTATGTATTTTTTGCTTTGTAGAAATTGACAAGCTGATCTAATTCATGGGGAATTGCAAAGACCAAATATATTCATGACAATTTGTAGAAAAAGTAGAAGTGGAGACCTGCTCTACCACATATCAAACCCTCTCATCCAGCCTCAGTAACTGAGACAGTGAGGTATTGGGCAAGGATAGAGCTCAGAACACAGAGCCCAGAAAAAACTTTGGCATGTATGGTCCCTTGGTTTATGATCAAATATAACTTAACCAGTTAACATGTGAATAATGCCCAGCTTAGTAAAGAGGGAAATATACTCAGTCTTCTCTTAAGTGGGAAAACCCAGTCAATTCCCTTAAACTCTATTCTCTCTGCCCTTCTGGTTACTTACAGCTTATTTACATAGCTGTGCTGTACCTTGGATTCTAGTTGATGTCACTGGTAATAGTAAGGACATTCAGTCACATTGGGTGGTTTACCCACATACTAGTAACTCCAGCTTCAGTTTTGTGAGATTGTTTTTATTGCGTATCATCAATGCTGCAATAAGAAAGAAGAAGAAAGTGTGTTGACTGACTATGATGTGCACTTAGACAATATTTTTGAGTGCTTCAATATGATCATTTCATTCTTTTTAATCTTCCGTCAGAACATAAAAATTCTAGGTTCGTGGACTTTACATTGCATATTGTTCTTCAGTCATCCTCTGTGACTAATTTGCTGACAAAAGAGCCGAAATTCAAAAGTCAATATTTGAATTGCATTTTTATTAGTGTCACTTCACCGAAAAAAGCTTCTGACAATTTAGTCTATCGATCTCTCTATTAACTAAATTTATCTTATAGACATCTGTGGAATTTATTAGAGTTCAAGGGGAACTGCCATAAGGATTAACGCCCTCTCATGCTGATTAGCGATGGGGCTGAAAATTGATGTTGTACACTCCCTTAGCATAATGGATGACTTAGGGCCAAAACACATACTTTGGAAGATGTTTGAATTATTACTATGTTTTAATTTATATATTTCTGCAATATTTACATTTTACATATTTTCCAGTAGAAAAAAAAGTGAATAAAGAATAAGAAATCCTTTGCTCTTTCTTTGACAAATGACCTTTTGTCAAAGTTCTGCAATAAAGATTTCTCATTTTCATGTGTGTTCTTTCAAATGTTGGGTTCAGAGAAGCAGGCATTTCATAACAACACCTACAGAAATTTGACTTCAAAAAATAATCTCCAAAATAGGCATTTTTCTATTTGAATATTTCCCTATCCTCAACGGACTCATTCTAATTTCTCTACACTATCGCCTTGTTAAAACCTGTTGACAGACTCATTTATGATGAATTCTAATTCTCACACTTTTCTGCCATTTGTGTAATGTGAGTTATTCAATCTGAGTCTTACTGATATCTCTATAAACAGGCAATAAAATCTACTTCTAAGGGAGATAGTGAAGAATAAATATGGTAGCACTGAGGAACACTTAGAGACGTGACTACCAGACACAACCTAGGCTCTTAGGGTTCTCATCCAGATTTGCAATTTCCTGGACGGCTTTAACGCCTTTAATGTTCACTCAAGAGACCAGAGTTTGGGCCTTTCCATGTTTTTGTTCCCTTACGTAGTATATTATACCTCTCAAATAATTAGAACCTTTGGACAGAAATCCTGAAAAAATTACCAAAACTGCTTATTTCAATGTCAGCATTTAAAAGACACTAGAAACTGTTTTTAAAGGTTTAAAAATAGGACAAAATTCTAATTTTGTTTCTATAACATCTTGCAGAAATTGGTTTTATTCTGTTGATCTTAAACAAAGAAACAGCTGATTATTTCTCCCATAAAAGATGGTTTTATTCCGGATCAGCAAAGAACTGCTACTTGAGAAAAGCATGTTGTAGTGAGTCATAGGCAAACCCAGAGAACAGACGAGGCAGCTGCTTTCATAGCGAAACGGGGAGAGGGAGGGGCTGCTCTAAAGGAAAGCCCAGTGGGGTAAAGTGACAGCTCAGGGCGGCAATGGCTTCTCATTGGCTGAGCTGTGGTGTCTCTGATTGGCTGAGCTGTGGAGTTTCTCATTGGCTGAGCTGCAGCATTTCTGATTGGCTGAGCTGTGGCTTCTCATTGGCTGAGCTGCAGCATTTCTCATTGGCTGAGCTGTGGAGTTTCTCATTGGCTGAGCTGTGGAGTTTCTGATTGGCTGAGCTGCAGTGTTTCTGATTGGCTGGGCTGTTGCCAGGAGGGAGAGAAACCTTCCTTCGGTAGTTAGGCAGCTGTGCTTCCGGTCCAGATGCCAGAGTCCATGTCTTCCTGTTTGGGGTAACTGCCTGGGGTGTGAGAGCCCCCCACAGGCCTTCCTGGTCCAGGTTAGTTTATGGTTTCTTAATTTCCACAATGCAGTAGATTAAAATCATGAAATTTACATAATTTTTGACTTCTGTATTCTTTGTTCATCAGAAGCTATTCCACTTCAATGCCTATATTGCTTTCAGATAAAAAAGAATTCAGTGTGTAATAACGTATCTATTAAAACAGCCTATTTTGGAGATTTAGTAAAACACACATATTCAAATAATTTTAGAATTATTTATTTAACTTTGCTATTAAATGATTTTCTGGTTATATTTCCCCTAAATCTGCAAGGCAATGTCTGCACTAAAGTGGATTTTACTTACTCTTTTTGGTCACTTCATTTCCTCGGGTGAGCACAACTAATAAATTAGCAACTTTACACATTTTGAAGCTGAATTGATTCACTAATGATATCAGTTTTGTTTCTGGAATACTATTGCTTGATTTTTATTCTGCTTTGTGGTTATTTTACATTTAAAAAAAAATACCTAATGGAAATAGACAATTCCTTACAACACCATCTGCTGTGCATCACAGTCACGTTTTATCGTGGCTCACGGACAAAAATTGCATAAAACTAACATGTTTTGCCTTGATAAAGTCACAATCTGAAAATGACAAATTACCCGATATAAAATCATGTAAGGCACATCATTGCTTTTAAACAGATTTACTTCACTTTTCACCATGTTACTATTCTGTTATGTAATTAAAATTGATTGTGATGATTATATAATAGCTTGGAAAGATGGTTTCAAAATTTAAATATTGACGAGTTAAGATTTGATTTCTAAAAATTCCTGTCTATTCTTTGATATGTTTTACTTGGAATACTTATGTTTGTTATACCTTAGAGCTGAGATTTCTCTATCAATTAAAAAAAATTCTGTTTACTAAACCATTTTCCTTCAAGTTACAGGACTCATCTTTGTAACTGTATACTTCAAATGTAATTTTATGTTTTTATCATATACTTGTTGAATTCTTTCAATTTGAAAATAAAAATATACAACTAGATTTATAAGGAATCAGTGGCTATATATCTGGTTTCCTATAAGATGAAAAAATAGATCAGGCTGCTTAAATATGGAGATGAACAAAAGTATATGAATCTGAAAAAATAATAATGAAATGTACAAGAAGCTGCTGAGGGAGAAAAGATTATTTTTGTCTTTCACTCCTTTTCTGTCTTTTGTGGTTTTAATTGAGCATTTTATATGATTCCATTTCTCTCCTTTCTCAGTTATACTTCTTTTTTAGTGGTTGCCTTAGATTTTGCAATGTATGTTTACAGTTAATCCAAGTCCACTTTCAAATAATACTACACAAACCACTTCACAGGTAATGTTAGTACCTTATAATAACAAATTAATCCCAACTCCTTCCTCTCTGTATCATGGCTGACTCTCATTTCACTTATATATAAGCTTACATAAGTATATATGTATGCATAAGATATATACATAAGCATACATAATCAAATACATTGTTGCTATTATTTTGAACAAACTGTTAACTGTTAGACTAAGAAAATGAAACTGTTACATATTAGATTAATAAAGAAAAAGTAAAATCAAAGTTTTTATTTTACCTTTAATTATTCCTTCTTTTATACTTTTCCCTTCCCTGTGTAGATCCAAGTCTGACCTACATTATTTTCCTTCTCTCTAAAGAACTTCTTTTATCATTCCCTATAAGGCAGGTCTACTGGCAACAAATACCCTAAGCTTTTGTTTTTCTCAGAAAGTCTTTACTTCTCCTTTGCATTTGAAGGATAATTTCACAGGACACAGAATTGTAGGTTGGTGATTTTTTCTCTCAAGACTTTAACTATTTCACTCCACTCTCTTCTTGCTCGCGTGGTTTCTGAGAATTCAGATGTAATTCTTGTCTTTGGACCTCTATAAGTAAGGTCTTTTTTCCCTTCACTTCCTCTGAGAAAATCTTTGATTTTCTGTAGTTTGAAAATGATATGCCCAGGTGTAATTTTTTCTGGTCATTTTTTCTGTTGATGTTCTCCGAGCATCCTCAAGGCACTTAATTGACATTAAGAGCATCTGACATTAATTTGAAGAAATCATTATTGTTGCCAATATTTCTTCTGTTCCTTTCTCTCTTCTTCTTCTGATATTCCCATTACACATGTTACACCTTTTGTAGGTGTCCCACAGTCCTTGGATATTCTTTTCTGCTTTCTCACATCCTGTAGGTGGCCTCTTCATTTTGTTGATTGCTGTGCAGAAGTTTCTTAGTTTGATATGTTCTTATTTGTTTATTCTTGCTTTTCTTGCTTGGGTTTTTTGTGTCACATCCAGAAAAATTGTTGCCAAGATTGATGTCAAGCAGCTTTATTCCTCCATTTTCTCCTAGGAGTTTTAGTTTCAGTTCCTACACTTAAGTCTTTAATCCATTTCAAGTTAATTTTTTTGTGAGTAGTTTAAGATAGAAGTCCAATTTCATTCCTTTGCATGTAAATATCCAATTTTCCCAACACCATTTATTGAAAAGACTATCTTTTCCCCATTGAGAATTCTTGGCTCCCTTGTCAGATCTTAATTGACATGTATGTATGGGTTTATTTCTGGGCTCTCAATTTTATTTCATTGTTTGATGTGTCTCTTATTATGCTAGTACCATGCTGTTTTGATTACTATAGCCAAGCATCAAATGGACTCACTTAAATAGAAACTTGAACTAGAAAGTTGATCATTTTTGTTGGTGAAATGTGCACTGCAGGAATATTTGTATAGGTTGTCTTTCTGTATTTAACAGACTATAAACGTGTTTTAATGATTTTAATTACCAAAGAGCAGATTTATTTGATGTTGTAAAGTCAGCTTATAAAGGTCGTTGCCAAGAGTGTCTGGTTGCTGACTATGTGTGAGACACCTCCTTATAAATTCACGTACTTGGCCAGCACTGTGTTTTGTTGTTTCTTTTTGCTTCTGTTTAAATAACTTATTATTTAGAAGTTATCAAAATAATCTTGCAAACATCCTGAGTTGGAATAAAGGTTTATTTAGAATTCAATTATTCACATGAAAAGATACTCAGCACTTACTTTTGCAAATAATCTCTGAAGCTATAGGAAATACAAAGAAACAAATGGTTGGGACCAAAGTGGGTTTATGAATAGCTGTCATGTTGGGGGGATGGGATCATACACACGTGCATACCACGTTCCAGAGAGGAGGGTGCCATGTTTTTGCCATTTTTCCTTGTGGTTCTTTTGTTTCCTGGGCAACCCTGCAGGAAGATTACTGAAATAATGGAATTTCAACTGGATCTAGAACTAAGACTGGTTTTTGATGGGCAAACGGTGGTAAACAGCAGACGCGCTTTGAGCAAAAGTGTGTGTGAGTCATGTGTGAGTGTGTGAGGGCTGGCAGGGCAAGCAATCCACTTTATCATACAGATTAATCACAGGTTGTGTGGCTATTGATGTGGCTGAAAAGGGTGCTGTAATAACTCAGGTGAGAACTTGATTGGGAAAGGAATTCAGACGTTGTTTGATAGGCCTGGGAGGATGAAAGGGGAAGAAAGAGGAGGAAAAGGGTGATCAAGAGGAGAAGCACATTTGAACAGAGAGAACTTTTGCTTCCACCAGATTGACCTGCATGTTTCAGCCAGCCCTTTAATAGAAATTAGAGAAAAGGGAAAGCTGCAGTACTTCCTTTGTTTGCTCTTGTCCTAAAATATTGTGACCTTTCAGTCAACTTCCTTGCCTGAATTTTTATACATACTGCATGGAATAACTCTGTTTCTACATAAATTGATCATTGAATCTCCTCATTATTGCTGTCATCTTCTGATTTCCTGTAAATACAATATTTGTTTCATTTATTTGGCAAGTACTATGCATCAGCCATTTTGTTTTTATATAATTTACATAATCTTGGTACTTTTAAACCCCCTACATTATTTTACATATGTTGCTTTTGGACAGAAATAGAAATTTTTATCTCATTTTCTAGTGTACATCAGAGTAAGCTCCCATCATAGACTTTTCTAGAAGGAATCTAAGTGGGCGTATGACCTAGCAGATCCCGGGTGGTCCTAAGAAGCACTCTTGTGCAGGATCACCATTCAGCGTGTGTCACACGACGGTCGTTGCTGGGGACAGAGGGCTGGATTGGAGCAGCTCTGTGATGGAACATTGGCTAGTGTTTACTCTGAATACTAATCAAAGCACCACTTCCAATATAAAAGTGAGTGCAGATATTTGATTTTAAAGTAGACAGAGCTTGCTTTCTTTCTTTTTTCCTTCATTTTGTAAGTTAGGAAAATGCAGCCCCTCAAATCTTGAGAGAGCATTAATAATATGTATATTTTAAAAATATTGTAAAGAACAGAATGGGGTCACGTCACATTGTTGGGATGCTCTGCAGCCTGGTCCCCTGGTGCGTGAAGAGACTGAAATACCGTGGAAGAGCCCTAATAGCCCTGACTTCAGGGAATCTTCTGAGTGTCATAACCGCCCCATTAGGCAAACTGCTCACTGGCTGATTGTCATTGCTCTAGGACGACACAGAATGAGAACTGATTCTTTGTCTTTTTTGATTGCAATATTCAACAGAATTATCCTGAAGGGAGAAACAAAGTGAACAAAAAAAGGTAATTAAGTGAAATGCCTTCTTCCTAAGTGTAACAATAAGGATACACCTAGGAGTTATCTAGGAGCTTTAACTTTGCCTGGCTGGGAAGCGTGGCACTGCAGAATCTAGCCAGGACACCATGAACAGGCACGTTGTTTCCACAGTTTGTTGGTAATTTGGATGCAAGGGACTTAGAAAGAGGAAGGATGTATCTAGGCTTATGTATAATGTGAACATTTTATGTTTTATTTGAGTTTTCAGGTTATTAAATTCTGGAGAAATTGTGGATAATCTCAAGTATTAGATGACATTTTACTCATCATATTTGAGTCATGTTTAATACATGTCAAAGCCTGCACTTCTGAGAGAGTTAGTGCCAACCTCTTAGAAATGTGACTCTGTTGTTAGGTTCATTTGTG